CGAAACGGGTGTCGGAGCTTCTACTTGTACGTTCGCGACTGAAAAAGAAGTCGCGGCCCATGGATTCGACGAAGCCCGTGGCGAGCTCAAGCGACGGGCCCGAATCAATGAGAAGCGTTCGGCGCGATGTCACATGTGCAATATACGCTCTTTGTCCTTGTCGGCTTCCATTTATCCTCGAATCGCTTGAGGTAACCAATCTTCCGCAAACTCTGGATATCTGCTGTCGCGAAGTTCCTGGAATTAATCCAGCGGCGGAAGGTCGGAACGATCGTTCCAGAACGGTACGCGGCGTTATTTATAGACTTGGGATATTTCACTCTCTGAGCTCTTTGAATCAATGTCCGGTCACGAGAGCTGAACCTGGAGTTCAAGAGTTCCGAACATCTACTTGCTATCTGCGGAAAGGTTCCACGGAGATAAGCGTACCTTTAGAATACTTCCGACTCGTCCACAGAAAGTTCGGGAGGCCAGACCTTCCACACTCAACTCCACAAGCGCCGCTAATGGCCTGTCTGTTTCTGTTGTGATCGCTACGACCAACTTCAAAGCGGAACCAAAATCAGCGCATTCGAAATTCATTCAAATCGTACGTTTTCGCGTCGTTGGAAGCTCCGTCGTCAGCGGGAGATTCAGGATTTCGATGCGAATATTTCCCGAGTTCCATCGATATCTCGCCGCTGACCCGGCATCTCCAGTCATCTGAATTCCCAATCAGGAACCTCCTCATTGTGTTCCAAATATTTCGTCTCCCGGATGTGAGCATAGGGTATATGCACAATGGGAATAGGGCAGATGATCAGCCCGTCATGCGTGGAGAGACGCTCACGGGAATTCATGCCGCGAAAAAAAATTTGATTCCAATGAAAATCTCTGGGTATATCCTAATTCCATCTTCTGCTTCGAGGGATATTCGTGTGACGAGAGCGGCTGTTCCTATTGTGTCAAAACCTGTGGGGACCTTCTGCAACCTGCTCCCGGAGGAAGTGTCTCTTCTTCTTCTGAGTAGTGACTCCGGTTTCCGGTACAAGACTCTTTTGGTTTCCTCGTCCCCGGGAGAGTGACACTGGAGGGATCTGCGCGTCGATCCGAATTATCTGCCATGCGGGCGTGTGAATTCCCACCGGGCTCTAGACATATGAGCTTCCGCGAGATTCCAGAAATGTTATATCTGTGGAAGGATTTCGATTCTCCGTTCCGTCGAACGATGGTATAGTCGGAGAAGACCGGATCGGATAGTCTCGATATGAGACTGGGAGGAAGTTTCCTTGGCTTCAAAGCTCAGAAACAATTCGCTGAACTTTTAAAGAGGAGTAGCAGACCATCCCCCCAATTCCGCTCTACGTCTCATCCTTTATCTCCTTTTGCTTCTGCCTCGATGACTCTCCGTCTACCTTATTGGCTGAGGACAATCTGGGTCTTTATACCCAGCTTGTCCAACATCGATGATCCGAGCTTCTTCCGGATGGTCAGGACCAGCGAGTACACTCCGACGGATGGTGGGGGAAGCGAAATACGGATCGCACCACAGATCATCTTGTGAAAGGCTTGGAATTGTTCCAGGCTGCGTGCTCGTTCCGGGGAAGTAGGCTCGATGCGTATCATCCACTTCTCGGTTCATTCCGACAACTTGTCCCCGGAGGAGTAGACTTCAATCATCCTTCGCGCGGAAAAAACAGCACTCCAACCGCGACTCAGTCATGCAGTAGGACAATAGAAGGATCAAGGCATGTCTGCGACCGTCATGAACTAGGCCGGGACTCCTCGGAGTCTCCTTGTCTGTAGTCGCGGTCTTCTGACCACAAGCTCGACGTGGCGGATCGTAATGCTATTCGATTTCTCAGATACTTTTCCTCTCGACTACAGACGACGGAAGCGCTCCATCCCTCGGGTAGATCCGGGACTCCGGGGAACTCCCCCGGTTAGCAGGAAGGAAAGCGAGTCCCTCCCCGACCTTCTCCGCTCCCTCCGAGATTCAAATTCGCTCCCACATTGGGCCTATTCGCGGCGGAAAGTTTCAAACCACCGGGCGGACAAAGGTGAAAAACTCAAAGGCTGAGTACGACGGAAGTCTTCCGAGCACGGTCTGAAATAAATTAACGGATAAGACAGTTCTCGCCGAAAAGGGCGAACGGTTTTCTGGTCCATTAAAGCGAACCGCTGTCCCGTCTGAAGTGGGAGACTGTGGTTAGGAGCGGACAATGTTGTGCTTTCGTTGCGTTCGCTGACGCGTCCCAAGACCCCAACGTTCCTCCCCACGCTCGATGCAGATCCAACGGGCCTGATATGCTGACGCAGAGTTGGACTCACCCACCGACTGCAGGCTGGCAGACGTGCTCCCTTCGTCGGTCGGTTTGACTACCCAAAACCGCGCCGCAACATTCATTTGGCATGATGCCCGTTTCCATCTGTTCCGAACTCTCGGAGCCTTGTCCGCCCCCCCCCCCTCGTTCACCAACTCCCTTCCCCCCCGGCTTCCATTCCTTGTTCTGCTTAACCAGCTGTTTCATTGGGATCAAAGCGCTTCATTGGTTTCAACTCAAAAGAAGTTTGAGCTGTGTTGAGAAGTCCAGCCGCGGGGAGAAATTGGATGATCGAGGGGCAGGTCTATAGCGAGCGGGCTAGCGGACTGGTGGACGGACGGGAAGCGTAAATTCCCGACAAGAGGGGTTACGCTCTCGTGGCGTCGGCCATTAGAAGGAGGGTCCTATCAAGGACGAACGAAGAGAGCTGATGAGAGTTGTCAGACGGGAGCAACGTCGGGAGAGCTCGCGGCAGAGCCATCTCCCGGCTTCGAAATTCCCGCAGGGATCTCCTCGTTACAAAAGCGCTCTCTCCCTGTCTACTCACGGGGCGACTGCGAGAGTCGGAGCTCGTGCGCGTCCTCCTCCAAACGGGTGGTTGGTCGGTGAGTACGTGGAATGTTACCGAAGTAGACGAGCCGGGTGTAGCGGGAAAAATGCCTCGACCATGTCTGTCTCCAGAGGCGTCGTCCCTCCCATATTGTCGTAGACCAACCAGTGAGCCATTCATCTAGCGATCCGAGCAAACAAGCAGCTCGCATGCTGGCAGGCGGAAAGCCGCGAAATGTTGACAATGAAATGTTTCGAACATTTTGTCACCCATCCGGAGTGACGTATGGTCGGTATCCCCTCCTCGAGTCCCGCTTCGTTCCTCTCTTTCTGTTCCGTTTTTTCCGTGGGGAACTCTCGCTCGGCTACGCGTCGTTTCTCTCCTCGCTCCCGGCACGCAAGGCGATCGCCTGCTTCGAATGCCGCTCACACTCAAGTTTTACGAGCATCAGAAACATCATCGTCATCGTTCAAAACGCCACATCCCAGAATCCGCATTCTTGTTCCACTTATGTGAGGCTGCGTCCTTTTCCTTCAGATGGCCTCTTTCGACGAACGTTTTCATCCCCCTCTTCGGATCCGCGATCTGCATCCCCGTTCTCCTTGTCGCCTTGTTTCCTATACCACGAGATTTGCTCTTCGAGTGTTTCCCTTATGTGTGTGTGAATCGCTCGCGATCCGACGTCGAAGGATCGCCCCTCGATCACGGCTCCCTATTAGGGGGTCATTCCCTGAGGGAACTTAGATATTTTCAGACGAGTCGACGGAGTAGAATCGAGCAGAAAAAACAGCAATATGCGGAACTTCTGAGCGATTTCGCTGTTCCAATCACTCGAATCACTCAATACATTCCCCGTTAGCAGGGATGCTGGTTCATGGAAGGTCAACAGGAGCGATCCCCGTATCGTTATCCATTGTTCATCGAATCCTTTTTCGATAGATATCGAAGTCAAAGGTCCGAAGATCGAGCTGGAGCTCCGCGCTATTCTCCCGTCCAGGTACCTTCGTACTCGGGAAACCTAAGGGCCGATGGCACCCAAGCTCCATGTGGCCTCAGAAGGATCGAAATCGCGGGAATCCCTCAATTTGTCGTAGCTGGACGTACCGGAAGAATGGTGGAATCGTCACGAGAATCATCGAGGTCGCACAACGTAGAGCTTCGGGGCAGTGGTTGACTATACATACATACTAATACTGGTCGCATAGCGAGACGATGGCAATTATTGACTTTGTCGAACCCTCGAGTTCGGAGTTGGCTTCCGCTCCCCTGTGCTCTGGAATGGAGCTACTCGCGTGATCATTGATTAGAATTTCCGCGGCCCATTGGGAAATGTCGTCTCCGACACGTCCCCGTTCGTGCAGCTGAAATGTGGTTGTCGGGCGAGGAACGAGAGACTTCTCAATTACCCTCGTGAGATTCTAAATTGAGGGTTGATGCAACAAATTGTGGTCGCGTCGTCTACGTGACGTGAAAAGCCAGCCGCATTTCCACGTCGCGCGTCGTGTACGCTAACAAGTCGATGAATTCTTTTCCGCCGAGAGCTCGCGTACGCACATTGCTCTTCGACGTCGCTCGTGCGGAATCTTCATTTACCCCGACGAGGGAAAAACGGTAACCTCACGAGAATTCGTCAGAGACTCCGCCATGACGGGCGGAGGATTTGTTCCGAACCTTAGCTGGCAGCTGCGAGACAGGAGGATTACTCTGATTAATCCTAGAGCATGACTAAGTAGTCTGATTCCGAGCATGAATACGGGCTCCCAATTACTAATTGAATAGCTCAATAAGTAATCGTAACAACATTTTTATTCCAGCAAATAATCCTCGACCATCTGCAACACATACAAAATGCCGGATTGATTTCAACAACAAGACTGTTTGGATGCTCCGAGTCGTTCCAGCATCAAGCGCACCTGGAACGAGCTCCGATGCGAGCACCGGGTCGGTGAATTCCTGCACGTACATACTTCCGGCTCTTGAGTCAGTGTTTGATATAAACTATTCTTCACTGTCCTTTTTCGTTTGTTCATTTGTCTGTTCCACTCTCTCAGGTCGGTCGTGAGTATTTACAATATTTCCAGGTGACACCTTCCTCGGCCTTCTTCAGCCCGGGCCTTTGATCTACGTCTTCTATCGAAACAACCGAAAGCTCCACGGAAACGCTTCCGTTCAGTATTGCCGGACAATCTCGAGCTCATTCATAAGAAAAATAACCAAACTCCATTCGTCATCTCGCTTTCTCGTTCGCTTGTCGTCTCGACTGCTATTGCAGCCACAGACGGCTGTTGCTTGTCCCGCATTTTCCGTACAGTTTATTGTATATATACATGAGCAGAATATGTGTTCCTCTACCGTAAGGCACGTTCTAGTCAAGATGTCGGACGTAAATCACCTGAAACACCATACGAGAAACATTAGATTCCGTCGGCGTGCACCCGCAAAGTTCTTGCCTTGGCGCCAAGTCTCGTCTGACTCCCTGCATGGTCGGCATGTCGGCTGAGCTACGAACCTCGGATGAAAGGAAGTCTAGGGAAGTCACGGAGCTCTTCGCTCAAAGGACTCTCTATGCCCGGGCGGAAGGGACAAAAACACGCCGACGATATCGACGGAGGAGAAGTGCATGAATCAGTATCAGAAAACGATGTAGTGCAAGATAATTCGAGGGGGGGGGAAGCTCATGTCCGAGTCGTTCCCCGGAGCTCGAGTTGGAAACGATTCGGAAAATCGAGCTGGAGACATGTGTATACGTCCGAACGACTTTCAAAAGCGCGTTTTCGCGTTAAAAATTGGGATCGACCGACGCCGAGGATGCCTCGCGTGACGAGAGGGAGATGTCAAAGTTTGAGCAGTATCCTTCCAAATAATCGTGAGAGCCACTTGCTCCGCATGTGGGGATCAGAGCAATTCTCGTAAGAGGCTCGGGGATAAATTCCCGCGAGAAGCGTTGATGTGAAGTGTTCTACACAGCAACAACGTACCACGCTTTTCCTAGGCGAGTGACGACGACGACGACGGAACAAAGAGAGCCGATCGCGGATAATGGCCATCGCATTCCTCGTTCTGCGGAAGGAAGGATAATGAGGTGAAGCTCCCATACCCCAGAGGCGATTGCCACTTTACCCAATCAGGCTGTTTTCCGGAAAGCCTAGAGACTATTAACGCTGTATGGCTCACCAACCTGGCGCGTTCGAGGTGAGCAATCTCGAGGGAGGGGGGATGTTTTGAATCGTCAACCGCAAAGGGTCTCCTCGACCTTGATCATTTACGGCTGAGACTTCCGCTATACACTCAGCTCCCTCTGAAAGAGAATTTATCGTTTTAAAGCGAACAAGTCGACAACTAAGAGCTGGCGACCGATGGGCTTATCGCCCGTTCGACCCTTTGACCGATTTGCGGAAAGATTTGGCTCTTTTTTCCGGGTCGCACTGGACGCTCTCAGGATTGTTTAGAGTTTAGACTTTTGAGATTCGGGGAAGAGGAGGGCAAGGAATAACGGGAATTATCAGGGGCTAGACCGTATCAGAGATGGGCGAATTGTCTTTTTCAAGAAAACCGGATGTACTCGCTGAGCGCTGCCAGCGAAGGAACATATCCGGGCACGAGCCCAACAGGAGTGTTCCTCCATCGCTACCAAGCTCAAGCGGTCAGAAACGATTCAAAAAGCTGTGGACGAACAGAGTGAAATCAAAGGCATCGGAAGACCGAATCGGCAATGGAAACGACGGTGCTCGTACTTCGACGCGGTAATTGCCGCCTAAAATTCCGGGAGGGCAAAGCCGCGAATCTTCAGCAGATCCCAGCCCGGAAAATTTCGCGTCCTTGAATTATCATCGGATTTCATCTCGCGCTCGGTGACGGAATGGAGGATTGGCTGCGACCGATAGCTCTCACGATAAGTCCGCCCCCTACGCCGCGCGTCGTTATTCATGCACTGATGCTAGTCGCTTCTTCGGCAGTGCACGATCACCGGTGATATATTTCATCCCCCGGATGTGTCCAATCGGATATGCATCATTCCGTTGGATACATATGTATGTCGCGAACGATCCCGTGTAACTGCGTCTAATCATTGTTCAATGATCATGGGCCATCAATCGTTCTCAGTGCGGAAACGAGAGGGCGATTCATAAACGTTTTCCGTCGCTTCCAGCGCGCCATCGCAATGAGGGTGCGAAAACTGAGGCTTCTTCTTTCTCTGTCTCACAGCGTTTGCGAGTGATAGAGAACGATCTGTCATGGCGCCCGTGGAGAGAACAAATGTTCAAGTTGTATGCCGAACGAATTCTCTACGAAAACACAAATCGTCTAATGCAACCTCGACAGGCTTCGCAATCGTGAACGCGGCGCGGTATTCGCCCCGAAGTTTTTCCTCCTCGAGCGTGGATCCGCGAGGCTCGAAGCAGAGCGCTCTCTCGCTGCAGACTCACCCGGAATGTTGTTGATATGGAAAGAGGGCACCGGACTCGTCTGATTGAGCAATAAATTGCGGGATTCCGCCATGAACAGCTGCAGCAGGTAAGACTCTCCAGCTGCCTCGGGCCTCTCGTCAGCGCATTGTATGTGAAACCAAGAATTCAAGCCGACTTGATTCGACACAACGCATCGCGTGAGAGGTGGGGGAACTCCTGAAATGTTAGTTTCGGGATGAGCTTTATTGCACGACACGAATCTCTGCTCCTTCTCGCATCTCCGGCGAGAGCTGTCGCCATTCTGTCCCCGTCAGCTCAAAACACAGCACACAGGATGAAGGGTGTTCCGCCGAAGCGGGATGAGCTCTGTGATTCTTCCAAGTCGGATTTTTTTCGCCCAAGGGACGAGAACTCACCCTTCGGTTCGACTCTGAAAGTGCAGGGCTCGCCGACCATTCCGCCGATCGAGTTGTTCGCCCAGCAAGAGATCATGCTATGCTCTACATAAGTGGTCGGTCTGTAATGCAGGACGCTTGCGCTGCCTGCAAACGAGAGAAATTCGTTCCCCGTCAATAATTTCCAAACTTTTTCCAACAAGCAACCGACAGTCTACCCATTCATCGGGTTTGCGCCCTCCCCTGTGACATGGTACCTAGGTTGTGCTCCTCGCAGATCAGGAACTTCCTGGAAATTGCTCAAAGCATGCAGGGAACAGGGAGAACATCCGACTAGCGGCAGAGCTTGAGGAAACTGGATGATTTCCCAGCTGATTCACCCCGTATTCTCCCTTCTGCGACGGGAAAATGAGACTTGTCGTGGGAGAGTTTCCCACTATGGCAACAGATAAAAGCTTCTCTCGAGTGGCTGCTCTGTACATGTACAGGCCCGTCGTCGTTGAGAGCTAACGAAAGGGAGCAGTGCCTCGAAAGTTTCGACACAATCGATAAGCAATAGCGCAAAACACCACTCGATCCGGTGCGTCTCCACTACGAACACATAGAAAACAACTCACCGTTAACAACAAAGTCTTTGAGCGGCTTGGGCTGAGTGGCCGATACGTTTTTGACGGACCACGAAAAATGCACGTTCTCGCTGGGTGACGCGTCTGTGTCGCAGAGCACATCGATTGCTCTCTCGATGGATGAAAACACCAAGGACTTCGTTTCGGGGTTCCGACAACGTGGAGCATCTGTGCCGTCGAGAAACAGAAACCGTTGGCTTCGCTCCGGAGAATCGTCAATTAAAGCGGCGGAGCGATCGCAATATGAGCGTCAACGTAGACGAGAGCCGGTGCCCCAATCAGATCAGAAAGAATGGAAGGACGAGTCGGGCAAGCGACGGAGGCTTAGCCACTTCTCAGCTAAAGGCTGAGACTGGACTGTCGTTGAGACTTAGAGAAAAGGGATGTGAGGACTAGTCATGGGACGGGGATTAGGAGGCGGCGGCGCGGAACCAAAAGGCGCGTCCCGCTCGGATTGCAGCCTCCGAATACGGCGCGTACTTACACTTGACGCTGAGGTTGATGACATTGCTGCTGGCAGGACCTCTCTGGTTGATTGCGGTGCAGAGGTAGATCCCTGACAACCTGTGGCTGATATTGCGGATGACTAGGAAACCTTCATCAGCCACTACTCCTGCCGAGGCGTTTGTTCGCAGCTCTCGCCCATCCACCGACCAATACACTTCACTCGCCGGAGGATGCGAGAGCACCTTGCACTCAAAGTAAACATCGCTGCCTTCGATGATGTGTTTCTCCTGGAGTCGATTCCCCAAGGACAACCGAACCACAGGAAGATCTGAAACGAGCGGAAGGAAGTGATTTTTCAAGTTTTTGGAAAGCTCCGTGCAACTCTCCCCCTGACGGATATTCCAATCATCGATCAATTATTCGATAGCAGCTCATTATCCCCAAAGTTCTTAATTCTTCATTTGCCCACGTGGGAACCATTGTTCCGCGCTCCTGAGCCCGAGTGCACTCACGGTGAATGGAGAGCTGCATCGCTTGGCTCCAAGTGGAATTCGGGAGCAGGGGGTTCGTCGCGACGCAAGTGATGTTCTTATGGTTGTCTTCGGTCCGCAGAGGTAGAACCAGAACGGAGCTCGTGGAGTTACCGTCTCCATTATCGGCGCTCTCGATAAACGAGAACGATTCAAGTTTACTGGAATTCCAGCCTTCCAGCTCCCAACGCAGCGATGGAGTCGGCCGCGAGCCCTGCACCCGGCAACGAAATTCCACCGATGTGTCCGCATTCAAAGGTTCCGTGTTCGTTTCGATCGTCACCGACTGCGGTGGCACTGGAAAAAAGATAGCGATCATTCGAAACTTCTTTGTCCCGTCGGCTCGCTTCCGACATCTTGTGATTTTTTGGTCTGCGATCCCGTCCGGCTCTCGCGTAGTGGCGTTCGGGGCCGATTGAACTCACGAGTTAAATCGAGCACCACGGACACCGATCGTTTCGGTTGTCTCTGCATGGCCGGCGTTTTCATGAGCACGTTGTCAGCTTCACAGGTGAATGTATGGAGTAGATCCCGACGTTTCACTGGACCGAAGTGGAGCACACTGATCGCTCCTTCCTCATTCGTTGAATTTGAGCGAACCTTATCTGGAGCTATGATTTGTCCATTTTTCTTCCAAACTATCGTCGGTGCAGGGCTCCCTGGAAGAAGGATGACGGGAAAAAGTTTAGCTGATCGCTTAATCGAGCGGAGCCATTGATTAATGGCTTGTTTCATTCGCGGCGAGCACATATGCGGGACTGCGTTCCGACGATGAGAGCAATTATTATTACCGTGCGCAACGGAGAGATTCGTACGGGACTAACCTTTTTCGATGACGCAAGTCAGTGTCAAATTGGAGAATTCGATGAGGGGACCAATTTTGTCCCGAATCACGGAACCATCGGTTCCTCGAATCATCGGAACAGACGGCGGCACTGCGGGGGGAATTGTTCTCCTTTGAATCTCGCTCTTGACTCACTTTCGATTTCCCATGAATTCGAAAGGGGTAAATAATTCGGTCCCAGGTAATATTTTCCTTCGTTTCACAGAAAAACACAGCTGGCAAGTTTGGTTGGATATCGCAAGGAACGATCAAGCCTCTCGAGGTATAATGCCTAAATTGGGTCAACGGAGCTCGTCCGCGCTCTCAAGATTACTTCCGTAGGTCACCTCTCGCTTGTGTTGGAAATCATCTTGAAGATCTGGAGTTACTCACCCCCGACGATGATCTTCGACGTCGTATTCTTGTGATCGCCACGATGGAACTGCACTGAGCAAACGTACGTCCCGGAATCAGTGACGTGCAGTTTGGAAAGCTCCAGTTTTGCAGGATCCGACAGCACAGAGAAAAAAGCTCGGCCCGCCCACGCAACACTGATGTCATGATGACCATTCCAGATACCTGCGGAGGTCCAGACGTCGCCCATGTAGAGAGGAATTATCGCAGAGGCGACTACGGCTAACGCCTGATGGCGTCCTTCACAGCCCGGGCGCGCACGGTACTGCGATTTCGATGTGGGAGGGGGGACGGGGGTAAATCTTCGGGACAGCCGACGGATAGTCGTATCATTCTTTTCCATCGGAACTCTGTTTGAGCCAAGCGATCGTCCCAGCCTCTCGATGGCCTCTCGAAAACTTCCGGTAGATTCCGAGGACATATCCCTCCCAGATTTGGGCATGTCTCGAGATTGGTTATAGCATAACTTCAGATCGGACGAACCTCATGGGATAAAGACCGTTTCCCGACCGAAAAATCAAATAGACTGAGACTGCTGGGCTCTCATTCCACATGTTCCCAGTATATATGCCGTCGTGGTATAATACTCACCTCGCTTCAGGACATCTTCGGCAATATAGTTCGGCGCATCCTGGCCGTCCTTGAACCAACGGATCCGAAGCGGACTATCGTCCTGGAGCGATTCGATGTCGCACGGTAGCGATACTCTCTGTCCGACCTCGAGGATGGTCACTGAAACGTTCGAGAAGAGACAACACTTTAGCCTTTGATTGAAATGGACTGCGGAAACAATACGCCCGCCATTCGCTTCAAATGATTCACTATTGGCCGTGCGATGACCACTTCGACCGAGCAGTCGGCGTCGCGTCGGTCAAATGATCACGGACGGATCGGCCTTCTTTCCGATGCCTCGACTGACCCCCTAACAACCCTCGCTGATCGATAAAGGTCTCCTTTTGACGTGAAAACGTCTTTCAAAAGGCTGGGGGTATTTCGAGAAAAACTTCGTCATCATGCAGCGTTTTTTGTAACATTTCACGGGGCTAAAACTCATCAAGTACTCGACGGATTTCCACGGAATTGATGTCTAATGATCGCAAATTTACGGGAGACGATCGTGGCTAGAAATCATGGAAATCAGAATGCTCCTTAATATATTCCCGTCACGATCAAAACACCCCTTGAAACTGTGTGGAAGAGAGCATGAATTTCCGTTTTCCATAAAATTCAGTGGATGCAGTACGCTGGTACGATGAACGTCGGTAGATAAGCATGAATCGCATCAGTTGCATCGATGATTTCGACTCAAAGTACTGAGTACTGACCGATCGACACAAGCGTAGTCAGAGAAGAATTGACTATCGCGATCACTGACGGGCTCTCTGTTCCTATCG